TGCCAATCGATTCTGCAATGTAGGCAAACACGATCAAATATTTGAAACATATTAAACCCCCTTCCACGTTGATACCGAGTCGGCTCCAGAAACTGTCCAAATGCAACTAATTGATTTACAATGCAATAACGAATTAAGATGCATTTTCGAACATCAGAATCAAAAACTAATTTTTATAACACATATACGAGGGTTGGGGCAAAAGTCATGGCAACTATTTTTTTGTAGATATGTGAACGGATCACAAAACGTATATGTGTCGTGTGGAAGTTCTGCAGGCATAGTGTGTATGCAGAACAAGAGATGGCTCTGTGATAGCTGGCTCTGTGGTAGCGAGGGCTCTGAAATCAGTCAGTTGGTGAGTGTGTGCGAGGTGGAAGTAACTCGTGTTGAGCAGCGCGCTTACATCAAAATAGCCGTTCTCCGAGGGAGAAATGGGATGGAATGTCACAGTGAATTAGTAGAAGCCCTTGGGAATAATGCCCTACCATATTGTGCAGTAGCACGGTGAGTAGAAAAGTTTCAACAAGGACGTGTGTTAACCAGTGATGAGTAACGTTCGAGACGACCGGTGAGTGTGTAGACCGACTTGCACCTGCCGTCATCGAGCACTTCGAAAAACGCACCGTCCACAGGATATTGCGTAATGAGCTAGCGTCAGAATCCTTCCCCAGTCAAATTGATGGTGATCGTCGCGTATGACGTCAGGGGTGTCATTGTTTGCCACTTTGTTCCTCATGGCAGAACAGTGACCGCACAGTACTACAGTGACTTCCTGGTGCGACAGGTACGACGTGGCGTTCGGGATAAACGTCCGGATCTTGTGGACAGTGCAATAATTCTGCACGACAATGCAAGACCACATAAAGCAGAGTATATACGGTAGCTACTCCGACGTTGGGGATGGGAAGAATTGGAGCACCCACCGGTACTCTCCGGACATTTCGCCCTGTGACTTTGATCTCATTCCCAAGATTAAGAAAACAATACGAGGTAGGCGGTTTGCAACACGAGAGAACATTGCTAATGCTGTGCGCCAACAGATGACCCGATTCACACATGGTGCGGCTGAAGGTATTCAGCGCCTCCCACATCGTTGGCAGCGTGTGGTGACAATAGCAGGGAACTACATTGAGGGTCTTTAGGTCCAGGTTTGTCATGCCAACTTTATGTGTATTGGGTTATCATTCTTTTGCGCGGTGAAGGCCATATTGCCCTGTATACTACCGTAATAAATTCGTGTGTTACGATATTTCAGTGCTATTCATTGTCCACATATGTAGTTAAGACCTTGTCATCACATTTTCCAACCGGACTGGTATCTTCAAGAAAAAAAATACTTGCCATGACTTTTGCCCCAACCTAAGTATAATAAAAGGAATTTTTTTTTTAGATTTGAGAAATCTAGCAAAAAGTGTTGTGGGGGCTTTCGGATGAACTTACGTCTCCGGAACTTTTTTTCTGAAAATGAAATTCAAGAAACATAAATCCCGATCGTCCTCAACTGTTGAAAACCTGCAACATCAATTACGATGTGCAAATACAACTTTTGAGATCCACTTGAATTAGGTGAAAGAAAAGAGAAACAAATATCGCACTGATTATGGTAAATATTATTCGATTGCTTTCTTGATTATTATTTATATATGGTCATAAATGTTTAACTGTTCTATTTTTAATTTATGATTGATGCTGTTGATTATTCAGTAATTTCTCGAATGTGGAACTAATTCCAAATAATTCAAGCAGTTATACGGAAAGCTGTGCCCGGTCGAATCGGATTACCACCCCTTCTGAAAATTCGTATATTACTATAGTAACCAAGCGGGATCGACAAGCGACTTCTACAACTTTACATCTATGGTTGTAGCATCTCTTGACAAGACAATATTTGCGTGTACTGTAGGCCAAAGGCTTCACTTGAAAGAATTTTAACCCGAGAATAAAGTATTTATGTTCCACTAACCGTTGAATCAAGAGTAGCAAGGTTAAAACGGAGTCGTCATCACTTCCACTGGACTCTCTCACAATGCAACAACATCCTAGTCATCTTGTTCAGAGACAAGTCCATGTGCCTAATTTGCACTGGAATCAGATCAAAGTGTCTAAGGATTTGGAGAAACAAGGCATATGGAATTCCGCTCAGAACATTATCGAACATCACGCATTTAGAAGTGGCAACATCATCGCATGTACTGGAAGTTCAGTAGAATATCGCATCCTTGAAGACGGTTCTGTGGTGGCTGCGCAGTATTGGGAGGAAGTTCTAAACTCTGCTGTGAACCTCTACGTTGCAACAAATTGGTACTGATTTTCTTCTTATGGATGATAATGCTCGTCCTTCATAGAACCAACATTGTTTATTTTCTGGAGAATGAAGGCATTTCTCGTATGGAGTAGCAGTTAGCTAGTTTGTTATTCCCCCAATTTTATTCCCATTTAATATCTTCGGGGTTCCCTCGGAAGTGCTTTCTGTGCATGTTTACCTTATTCAGCCAGTGTCAGACAGTTGAAACTACCCTAATGGAGGAATGGCCATCTAGCATCTACGATCGTTGATTGTCTCATTGAAAGCGAAATTCCGGGGTTATCACGTACCTTGTTGATGTAAGTTTTGTTTCTTTATTTTTTAGCGTTTAACATTAATTTATTAATGATCGAACTATAATGTCGTCATATAGTTTAAGACAATTAAATATATTTTTCATCTTTGCACGTGATGCTTGTTCTCTGTTATGCTTTCTTTCTTTTCCCAAATGAACGCACTACCGACATGGTAAATTTGTTGTTAATCAGAGGTTTTGTTTTCCATTTTTGTCGATTTTACCGTCGCATGCTTATTTTTGAGAGCAAGTGCTTATCTACTATGCCATCTTCTAAAATTCAATTTGGATTTTTTTTCATATACATCTTCTCTTCAATATCTGAATCTCTCAAAAATGTTTTAATCATTTTAAGAAGGTTTTATTGCCCGTGAAAAGTAACATGCTGAAGAATTTCTGCAATACCACATCCGGAGAAAAATATTATTAATTTCTTAATAATTATAATGGAGCATACGCAGTTTGTTTCTATCTGGTTTGCCTCAGTTCAGTCCCAGTTCAGTCTTACTAAAAGAAAATTTTACGGTTGAAGTAATCAAACTATAGAGTGGCTTTCATTGATTATACTTATGGAAGTGTTTAATTAGAAATTTGTCTGTGAGTATCCTATAATGAGCTGAAATAAATGGCGTATAGCGGAATTATGCGAGTGCAGAAAAAGATTCTGTTGCCGTCAGAGATGAGAAAGGAATGAAGTTGTCATTGTGCTTGAACGCTGCAGAGAAATCGGAATTACGTCACCGAAAATCTTTCTAAAGTTAACAACACAGGCCAACGAAATTTAATCCTTTTTTCTTTAAAATAAATAAATAAATAAATAAAAAAGTTTTATTTTGGATTTATAGTTTTTTGAAAAGTTGAATCTGAAAATGATCTTATCTTTTCTCCTCGTTACACATAATTTCATTGGAAATGGCGCTGATTCTTTTTTGATTGATGTGTATTCATTCTTAAAATGGTATCACATTTACAAAAGTAAAACGCAACAGGAAACTTCTCCTTGAAATCTTCTAGAACTTGAATGATAGGTTTCTAAGAGCAGCAATATATTATACTACAGGAGAAAAATTGTGTTTTCCCCTGCACTTTGCGTAACTCAAAACACTTGAGGGATATCTCTAACTACCTGAATATCTAAATTAGCTTTTCACGCCTCAGTGTTACCTTAAAGCTATGGTATTAGTTATTCCTTGTAGCTGAAACTATCCGTGAAAACACAAACACACAAGCAAGTAAAAATCTTATTTTAATTTCGCGACTTAACAGTTCTTAATCATTATATTATAAAGCAAAAATAAGTCTGCTTGACTTTGCAGCAATTAGCTAGACGTCCAATTCAGTTGGATTCAACACAAGTATCTCTACTCAAATTTTAGTAAATTTTAATGAGCAAAGTGACAATATTCTACCTCGGAAAACACAAAATCTAAACCAAATTCACTTACCACTCGAATTAATCTCGCTTCTGGCAATACATTTCACTAGAACAACGCTTTCTCGTTGGTGGTAATGCAGCAAGTCATCAGTGTACAATAGTGTGGGTGCAAAGAGGGGGGAAAATCATTTTTATTCTTAACGATACATTTAAAAGGTGAGTAAATGTATCAAAACTTACATTATTCAGTAATTCTCTTTAAATGGAATTCTTTAAAAAAAATAAATAAAAATAAAAGAATATAAGGAAAGCCGGATAGTAGATATAACGAGCCCTAAGGGACAATGTTGGTTTCACGTAGTAATTTCCCACACAAGCATCATAAATAGGACATATTATGAGACCCTCACATCTCCGTGTTCTTGCAATACAATAACTACAGGCAAGGGCCTATATTTTTTCTCCTCCATCTGGTTCACTCATTAGTGGCAATCCAAATAAGGTCTCGTACGCTTGGAATCCCCGCTAAGAGGCACCTGAGGTGCTGGTAAGAGCGCGATGAAGTTCGCGCTGAGACCAGCCTAAGTAGTAGTATCACAGTACAGTATCACGGATAGAACGAGAAGAGCCTTTGACACGCCTACATCTTGTGGTGTCGAATAATCCCAACATCCCAACATCTTACTTTGAAAAAAATTGGACTAACGACGCATACTCTGTTACAATGGAATTTGGATTCACTCATTTGCGGCTTTGGATGAATTCTTTCCCCACACAGCTTAACATAGAATGCCAGAGGTTGAAACTCTGCATTTCGCAAGTGAAATCCAAGGCAATACTTTTTAACAAGCTAGGCCAAAAGCTCTTAAGAAAGCCCACCTTCAACCTGGACGGAAAGAAAATTAAGATTACTCAAGTCCTGAAGTTTCTGGGTATCCACATAGATAACGAACTTAATTTTATTTACCATCTCACGGAGACTCAGAAAAACACAAATCAAATCGCTTATAATTTCAGAAAAAATGCAAGGTACTAACTGGGGACTTCGTCCTCATATTCAAAAGATTTTATATTTAACAGTAATTTCAAGTATAGTGAATTATGGGGCTGCAATCTGGGCGGAGACTATCACAGAAAAGAAGAAAAGGAAACTTTTCGCCGTTCAGAGACCTTTTCTCCTGAGCATTTGCAAAGCCTATAGAACGATAGCTAATTCCTTTCTATGCGTTCTTACTGGGATTCCTGACCTTCATTTAATTCCGACGAAGGATTCAATAAAAGCCAGAGTACTCCAGTTGAAAGAAGATGCTTACCTGAACGGCACCACCATTTTTGCCTCAAATTATGAGTCTCCAGCCATACCATTGACCTACCATCATGCAAAGTATTGTAATTTAATTATCAATACGGACGCTTCAGCAATCAGTAGTAAAGAATGTCCAAGAGCATTTACAGACGGTTCTAAAATTCATGGAGAAGTGGGCGCAGAATCAATAATCTATTCTTCTTCCTCTATTCCAACAGTATGGCAAGGAAAATTATCTCCAGAAAATTCCGTTTATCAAGCTGAGCTGTCAGCTATTCAATCTGCAGTAAATAAAGCTATATCAAATAATTTCAGGACAATAGCTATCTATTCCGGCAGTCAATCTGCATTATATGCCCTGAAGGACAGAAACAATAAGAACCAACTGGTTCAGGATATTCAAAATACTGTAAGTGCCCATCCAGAAATCCAGTTTATCCTCAATTGGGTGAAAGCCCCCAACGGAAACGACGGCAACGAGGCAGCTGACTTCCTTGCAAAGGATGCAACTACTAACATCAAAAGTGAGGTAATTCATGTCCCGTGGCCCAAGTCCCATTTAAAATATACACTTAATGCAATTGTCGACTCAAAGTGGCAAGAAGAGTGGGATTCTTCATTGCAAGGCAGAAGAGTCCACGATTTTTTTCTCAAAAAAGATCTGACAAAGAGGCACTACACTATGAACATCTTCTGAATCAGTATATCACAAGGCACGGTCCTTTCCCCACCTACTTTCCATGACCAGAGGCGTGTGCCCCACGGATCTCTGCATATGTGGCGAAGGGGGTGACCTTGATCATTATATTTTTTGACTGTAATCTAACTGACGGCAAACATCTGAATCAAGCCTAACAACAATCTAATACCATTTAAGAAATATGCAATAAAGAATAGTCACCTTAGGATCCAAAATCAAGAGACGTTCTTATACATATCCAAAACTCGGACTGGATATTTGTCTATATCTAAGGCTTATTCATCTCCATATGTTACTATACCAATATTTGTCTTTTTTATTTTATTTCATTTTATTTATATATTTTTATTTTTTATTTTTCATTATTATTATTTTTTTTTATTATTTATTATTTATTATTTTTTTTATTTCATTTCATTTTAATGTTCCAACAGTTTCATTTATCTACGCAATGCTGATGGACGGGAGCTCCAAAGACTTGCTTATTACACCTCCGCCTTAGAAAAGACATTTATTCTTACATTTCTGATTTTGGAAGCATCAGTTGTTGAACTTTTCAAGGACAGTCTTTTCTTAATATGATTTGTGTACACTATTAATACCAGAACTTATTTATCTCAGAAAGTCCTCTCAAGTGGTTGATGGTAAAAAAAAAGAGGGGCGGGAGAACCTCGGACTATCCCCCGGGGTGTTCTCCCTCAAAATTGGGGCGGAAAGTTTAACAATTAGCTAGGTTCAGCAATACCTCAATTACCTGTGGTACTACGGAGGTGCTGGCCTAGCTTCTACCTGTACCTGTTTCTGACCGAGTTCGGTTTGCAGTTGGTTTATAACCGCTAATAATGTTACAGAGAAGGTGGAGACTGAAAAGGAGAGAGATACGGTATCAAAATGTCAAAACAGTGTCACGTGTCTCTCCTTCTTTAGTCTCCACTTCAAAACATACAGCTCTGTCTCACCAGCATCCAAGCGGTAATAGTTGCTGAGCACAGTTAATTCGATTGAGGTTCACACCCTGCGAATGGACTGATAGCATAGGTGTTGTCGTGGTTTTGCCCATGTGTAACGTGGTTACGAGCCAGTTTCCCTTAAAAAATTCTCCACGAAGTCATCCCTCCTTTGCGTGCTGTCATAATTGAAACAAACCAGATCAAAAATGTATATACTCACCACCATCTATCATTATTGGCAGTTGTCATACCTCTTGAAATAAAGGATACAGACACATAGGACATTGGAGGTTAAAAGTGTCGTGTGTCTCCCCCTCTTTTGTCATCACTATCAGTGAATCCTTACTGATGACAGCCACAGCATATCGCAGCTGCAATCTAAGAAGATCATAAATGGATGATTCCACTGTAAGTTTGACTCTTCGTGGTTAGTTCTGCAACAGGCATAAGATTTTCAAGAATTGTATAATGGTTTAAAACGGGAGATAATATGTCATCTGAAAGTGCGCTTCCTTTGAAGTGAAGAACAATAATTGGAAGCTTCAGTCTCTGGACATTCTGGTCCATCCGAGCTATGACTGCTTTTCTTTCCTTTATTTTTATACGAATACCATAAATAACTGCAATACTAATACTTAAAAATAACAATGAAATCTGTGCAGAAGAACCCCTGTTTAAACGTCAAATGCATTATTAACTTTTTTGACTTTGAAACATCATTATTAAGAAGTATACATACTCACATTATTGCTGAAAAATATGATGCTGATGTCAAAGAAGACCAGGTATTAGATAATCGTTAATTAATTTCTTATTCACCAATTATTTTTCGCGCCTCCATTAAAAACATCTTCGAAGTGCAATTGTTTGCAATTTTGGTAATGTCATTCCAGCTCCAGATATATATATATATATATATATATATAATATAAAATGTTGTATGATCTTAAATCCATTTAGTGCGAATACAAGTTATTACTACTTGCGCAACTGCTGCAAAGTTAGTTAATAATAATTTATTTCCTAAACAGTATTGATTAATTGATTATATTATCTCCTAAAGATTACTTCCCCGCAGTTGACACAATACCAATGATTGCATTTAAATATCAAAGGACCTTAAGCAACTTGCTCACTAACCACCATGAAATAGATGAAACTGCAGAATGACATTGTAAGACACCAATTTACAGCAATTACGTAGATTCTCATCACCAGAACATAATTACTGGCAACCTGAATATCATACAAAACCATCAACTAAAAACACTAATGAGTTATGGTACAAAATTTAGACCAGTCAGAAACATGACTACAAATTACTGTTACAAGACTTTCGAAAACAACATCAACGAATTTATAGTTAAAGCAAGCTATCAACTGAATTTACCCATAGATACCTTCTTAAAATGGAAAGCTAAAATTCTTCAACGCATATCCACCGAAATCAGTCACCTCAAATTTAAAAGTACACTGAATTGGTCGCAACTTACATCAGATATTAATATATTAAAACAGCTTTTTACTATTACAAAAATAGGTAAAGCAACTAATAACTTTAGCATTATATAAAAACAATTCTACGCTGAAATTATTCATAAAGAACTTCTCAACGCAACTAATTAACCAACCTCACAGAAACATCTATAATAAACAGGATTAAAACTTTTCATAAGAAACTCAATATTACTTTCAATGCAAAGTACAACAGATTTACTAATCTTTATGCGATTCCCAAATTCCATAAAACACCATTAAAATTTAGATTTATAGCTAATGGAACTAATAATTACAAGAAAAATATAGACTATTATTTTTCAATTCAACTTAATAAAATCTGCAAATTTATTTTCAATGATTGTAACACTAATCATAACTATTGCTGGATCATTCATAATAACACTCCTGTCATTAATACCATTCAAACCATTAACATCCAAAACATTAACTGCTATGATTTTGAAAACTTATATACCTTTTCCTCTAGAAGAAATCTATACCAGTCTACTTGATCTACCTAAACTTTTCCCTAATATACTCAATATCATGACTCTTGACAAATGGAAAACCTACCTAAAATGCACACTTTTTCATAACTACATCAAGTTTCAAAATCAACTTTTTAAACAAGTCAGAGGATTGCCAATGGGCTTACATTCCAGCACCTCGATCTGTAATATCTTTTTATTTGTCAAAGAATTTAACTTCCAAAAAATCTACAACCACAAGAGTTAAATTACTACAAACACACCTACAGATATATTGATGACCTTATTACAATTAATAATTTTGGTAAAATTGAACACTCCGAGATTTATCCGAATTGTCTTACACTTAATAAAACTAATAATTCACAAAATAGCATAGACTTTCTAGATCTTCAAATCATTAACTACAAAAAATTTTACTTTTTGACAAAACAAGAAACTTCAATTTCAATACTAACAAATTAATAAATTGGAACTCTAACATATCCAAAAAAGTAATTAACAATACTATAATTTATCAAATACAACGAATTAAAACTATATGCACAGATACAATAGATTTACAACGCGAAATTTTGATCCTTATCAAAATTCTCAAAAATAATCTAATTCCCTTTCAATTTATCAACCATTGCCTTAAAAGAGCAGGCGTTAAATACTCACTCTAAATCATTTAACTGATAGGGATATGATAATTTGTTCCTAAACCTGAGAAGGCGGTATAAGTTGGATGACTGTCAGTTGAAGATTTGTATATAGTGTAATTACTCAATTGTATATATTGTAAAAAGCTAATTGTCTTCAGACATATACTGTTACTAAACTAAAAAAATGGGCCTATTTTCATGCCTTTAGACTGTCTACTAGCTCTTGGACAGTGAAAATGCCTTTTTCCTTCTTTTAAATTCTTAATCATTGCGACACGACAATTAGCCAGAAATTAATTAATTTCCATTCACTAGTATTTTTAAAAAAAAATCTTAACAGACAGGTCTCTCTCAGATAAGAACTCCACAAAATACATCCCAAGAATTCCAAGTCCCACCCACTACCATAAATTACTTCACCCAAGTCTTACCGACTGATATTATTCAAAGCCCCTACTGCCGCTAAGAATTTTCGGACACCCTACACTTCTGAGTCAGACACGAAGAGAACACACTTTGCCAACTCCCCCACTAGAAAGAATGTAAGTTACTTAATACCTTTTCTGGCCTTTATATCTTCATGTACATTCACTGATCTTATTTATATTATTTTATATTTTCTATTTTATTTTTATATTATTTTTATATTGTCTTTGATTTGTTTTTACAAAGTTTGCATTATTTATCTTTTTTATTTAATCTTCTATGTTTATTTCAACTTTACTTTGAATTTCGATTTCATAATGACAATTTCCAATGTTTAATTTCTACAAATAATATAGTACTCAAATGCATAAAGATGAAAGTGTCGGGGACGATTACTCGAGTTTTACAATAGGATTTCTCTACAGTAATTGATTTTTACTCCAAATTGAATTGACTAAAATGCTTCATAAGAATAAGTTCTTTGAGAGAGCATTGGTTCATAATTCCTTCTATTCGCGGAAATATTTGGCCTGACCAGAATTGCCGGTTTGGCTTTAACTTATAACTCGAGTAAAGACGAAACACTTTCGTATTTACGTATTTTATCAATTATTGTTCATTGAACGGGAGTTGGTTTGTTCCCCTTGAAAAGTCAACTAATTTCCGATCAATGACAATGAATTACATGTTTTAATTTTTCCTTTTACAATTGAAATATTATTCTTCATGATGATTTAACTCCAGTCCCCGTTAAAACATTATTAACATTTTGCTTTCAAATTACTTCAAAACATCTTTCAAAATATAACTTACCAGTATGGATTCACACTTTTAAAATAATTCTACTTTAATTAAACTTAGGAGATAATATAATCAATTAATCAATACGTTTAGGAAATAAATTATATATATATATATATTCTACTAAACAAAAACCTATTTTTAACTGGCATGTATATATATATATATATATATATATTATTTTA